CAGAGGTGAGCTTGTTAGGCTTCTGATCCAAATAAGCTCAGGAAGTGAACAGAGTAAACTTCTTGAAATAAGCCTGCTAACGCACTGATTTAGAAAATACATATTCACACTAACTCTCCCACCCGAGGAAGGGCTGATAGTGCTAAAAGTGAGATTTTGTTTTCTTATTAGTCAGAAACTCAAATACCTGTGGGGTCTGGTCCTGGGGAGGTGCACTACTATCTTGATGCCTACTGGCTCCCATCTTCACCTTCTTACTGACCTCATTCTCTTCCAATTCTTTCTTATTGTTTGATGGTTTCTTTTTCTTTTTTTTCTTCTTGGATGTTTCATCTACTGCTGTTTTCTCTGCCTTAGTCTCACTTATGGAGACTGTCTCTAGTCTTGGGGTCTCTAATATGGGAAGGTCTCTCCCTTCTTTTACATCCATGCTGTCCATAGTCTGGAAAATATTAGGCTCTGGCAGGATTGAACACTCTAGTGTCAGTGCTGGACCTGTGGAGGGTGAGCCACGTAATGTCTTATCTTGTGCTATACTCTCTGTGGTGTCCCCTGTAGAAACAGATGGAAGAACAAAATTACCTTCATCTGAGATGACAAAATTGAAAGCAAACTCAGGTCCTTGTCCAGAGATGGGGAAGTTTAATGTTCCATTCAAATCTTTTACTTCTGAGGAACTGGTACCAATCTGCCTCTGTTCAGAGCCATCTGTCCTGTGTGCCTCTTCCACAGTTTCATTGGTTGTTTGTGTTTCTGTCTCAGAAGGTGTAAAGCTGAACCTGAAACTGTTGTCAGATGGTGTGAACCAGTTTGTGTTTACTTCAGAAGTCTGGTCAGATCGCTTCCTATACACCATGCTCCCTGAAGCCTTTACATTCCCTCGTTGTATCTGCACTTTCCCAGGTTTCATAGCTAGAAAAAAGAAAATATTGCCACGTTGATATCAGCTACGTAGCAATTCACCTCTCTAGGGGGATACACGATGCCTGTATATGCAGCGTATGTCCGTATAGAAGAAAGAGAGTTAGAACTCTGCTGGCATCTGCAAGGAAGGATGGGTAATTTACCCAAACAAAGCAGAGCTGTCCCTACACTGCCTGGAATTTGGGACTACCCAGTGAGCAGGGGGAAAAGGGAAGCAGCTCCTGTTTATCTAGACCTGAGCACCATTCTCCATCCTACTAACCTCATGCACAACTACAGGCAGGCAGCCTTGGCAAGAGTTCCCTTTTCTGCATTTTCTTTCTTCTCAGAGCCTAGTTTAGCCCTAACTTCAGCTCTCACTAGTAGGGCTCCAAAACTACCAGCTCTCCTTAACACTGGAGGCTACATCAGGGCAATGCCATACAGTATGCAGTCACAGTCATGACTTCACCTCCTCACCTCTGGGATTATATGTGCCTAAAACCCATTCTGCTTTAAAGGCTTTAGGTTGCGTCATGAACAACAGGGCTTGAGGGGAAGAAGGTTGATGGCTTCATGGGAAGTATTTGGAAGAAAGCCCTCAAGAAAAGCCACTTGTTAATGCATAGACATCACAGAAAGAACTGAAAAGTACTATACATCCCAGGTAAAGCCAGGCCTCACCTGCTTTCTCTGCCTTTTTCCGCTCCTCAGCCATTTTAAATCGATAATCTCCAAGCACACGATTCATCACCTGTCGCTTCTTCACAAAGGGTGCCTTGTGGGAGCGTAGGACCTTCAGGATCTGCTGTGTTTCCTCTGCTAAACTCGAGAAAAAGATGAACACAGACATAAGAAACCAGGATGACAACAGCCCCATAAAGCACAGTGAGGGAGGAAAATAATTCTATTTTCTACAGATAAGCTCGAAGCACCATTTTAACTGGACGAGAACTGGGATGGTCACTGATTGGGGTATTGGGTAGTCACAGAACATACAGAACTGGTTCACTGAAAGGGATCTTCAGAACTTTTACAAACTGATATGCAAGGTTGTATTGGAACAAAACCTATTCCTAAGCACTTACTATGTACCTATTTCTATCCTACCTGTCACCCTGGTATCTGGCACTAACTACATGATACTGTTTGATGAACTGGTAGAAACAGAAATGCTCTAATGTTTGAGCAATAAGTCTAATGCTTCCAGGCATAAAACAATTGCTAAAGGGGTCCATATATACCATAACAGTCAGTCACATGCACTGCAGTGAAAGTTACACCTTCCCTTGCAGCATTCAGTATTGGTCACTACTGGAAGGGGATATGAGGATGAGCTGAAATTGTATGGAAAAAAATGTAATTCCCTTTATAAGTCCCTCAGTACAGTTGGAGGCAGTGTTTTAATACACAATCAAGATTCTTCTGTGAATTTTCTTCTTCAGAAACGATAAATGTGCTTAAAGAAATAAGGCTACAAACATTTAAAGGCTTGATCATGCTTGATGCACTCTCAGTACTTATTTGAGACTGTGGGACTATAGCAAACCTGAGCTAGCAGTACACTATGCAAGGAGAGCCTAGAAAGAATAAGGCAGAGACTAAAAAGAAAATGAGGACAGTAGAAACAAAGCAGAAGGGGGAAACTCAAGATCATAGAAGTAAATGGTAAGGGTGGTTAGGTAGAAGGAATTCAAAGTGGAACAGAATATACCATCCCATTATTTAGTTAAGAGAGCCTTAAGGCAGTGGCTCCCCACTTTCGTAGACTCAAGGCACCACTTGAAGATACCAGCTTAGTTTTCACTCATTTTTGATTGCACAAAAATAACAGAACAATCCTCCTGTTGTGAAGAACTCCAAAAGACCACAACAGGTCAGAATGTTTGTAACATTATGGGTTCCTACTTGAAATCTCTGGGTTTATTTTGTGAATCATGTTTGCATACCCAACATGTGTATCTAACAGTGTTACAATCACATGGCACCCTTGGCAGGATTTCATGGCACATTGAGAAGCACTGTCTTAAGGTCCAAATGTTTCACTTCATTTCACATTTAGGATGAACCTAATTACAAGCTAACAAGAAGAGAAGGCAGAGGGATGCTGAGAAACAAAAAAGGCTTTTGGATTTACTGAGCCAGAAGAAAGTTTAGGATTGAATGGCAGATCCTAAGGGAAACCACATACCTTGTTTTGGAGTTGGGTTGAGATGAAGAAGGCCCATCTCCAGCTGTAAGATGCACCATTCCAGCTCATCTTGAAATGTTCCTTGAGGAGCCTGGGATATTGGGATGCACACACCACTTTTAGAAAGCCTGGGTGTGCACACACACCACCATCCCCAGCCTACTTGGATCTGACATCAAAGAAATGTGTATTCTGAAGTTGTCTCTCCTGTGTTATGCAGGAGTTCAAGCTATAATAATTTAACAGTTTATTCTATCCTCAAATTCTCTGAATGAGGTACAGCAGCTCAAACTACACTGCAAAGTAATGCAGAAGCAAATTAGCATGGGCTGTGGCACTGATTTACCTGATTCAATACAGGTTCTGGCACTGATTTATCTGATTCAATACAGCCCCATCATCTTTGAGGTTAGAAAAAGAAAAGATTTATGAAAACAGACTGGCTGCTTGACTATCAGTGAGGACAAGCCATTTCCTAAAGTACTTTTTCCTAGTGTTTTTTTTTTCTTTTCTAGTTTTAAAGGTCCCAAGTGATGGGATTTCCTTTTTCTGATGGAGTAGAAAATGAACAGAGTGAAACAGGGATGCAGTGCTGGTGCAGCCCTTTAAAACTACAAATGTTAAGCTGAGACACATTCACAGAACAACATAACTTTGGCTTTTGGAGCAGTTTGGGAAATGTTTCTGACTGCTGCTTCAGTCAGGAGCTAGAGGGCACTGACTGTCAGTCCTCGGGCCTGCACTGTTCAACATCTTCATCAGCGACTTGGACGAGGGGGTGAAAAGCACCCTGTTCAAATTCACAGATAACACTAAGATATGGGGGGAAGTGGGCACACTAGAAGGGAGGAATAGGCTACAATCGGACCTGGACAGGTTACAGGGGTGGGCGGATGAGAACAGGATGGGTTTCAACACTGACAAGTGCAAGGTGCTACACCTGGGGAGGAAGAACCAGCAGCATGCCTACAGGCTGGGGAACTCCCTTCTCATCAGTGCAGAGGCAGAAAAGGATCTTGGAGTCATTATTGAAGCCAAAATGAACATGGGCCGACAGTGTGGGGACGCGGTCAGGAAGGCCAGCCGTACCTTGTCACGCATCCACAGATGCATCTCAAGCAGGTGATCCTCCCCCTCTATGCGATACTGGTCAGGCTGCAGTTGGAGTACTGCGTCCAGTTCTGGGCGCCGCACTTCAGGAGGGATGTGGACAACATGGAGAGGGTCCAGAGGAGAGCCACTCGCATGATCGGGGGCAGCAGGGCAGGCCCTACGAGGAGAGGCTAAGGGACCTGAACCTGTTCAGCCTCCACAAGAGAAGGCTGAGGGGGGATCTAGTGGCCTGTTACAAACTAGTCAGGGGGGACCAACAGGCATTGGGGGAGTCCCTGTTCCCTGAGCACTCCCAGAAGTGACTAGAAATAACGGTCACAAGCTGGCAGAGAGTAGATTCAGACTAGACATCAGGAGGCGCTACTTCACTGTCAGGGCGGTTAGGATCTGGAACCAACTTCCAAGAGAAGTGGTGCTGGCTCCTACCCTGGGGGTCTTTAAGAGGAGGCTAGATCAACACCTTGCTGGGGTCGTTTGACCTCAGTGCTCTTTCCTGCCATGGCAGGGGGTCGGACTTGATGATCTACTCACGTCCCTTCTGACCCTACCAACTATGAAACTATGAGAATATGGCTCTGTGATTTGGGGGAGAAAAAGGGCTGACCTGGAAGAAGGCAGTCCCAGAAAGCCTGACAGGACACTGGGGAGGGATGGTGGGGGAAAGGGTGGAAAAAGGCAAGGGGAATACAAGGGCAGCAGGCAGAAATCTTGCAATCGCATGGCAGAGAACAGTATTAGCTGTACCAACCAGCTCAAGTGAAAGGACACAGAGAAGGGTACTTCAAGTTCTTACCTCCTCCATTGGGAAAGTTGGCTGGGCTGACCTTCAGCTCTGGAATCCTCCTACATAACCTTATTCCCTACAGACACAAAACAGCAAGTGAGCTCTTATGCCCTTTCTATAAGAGGTGGGTGGAGAATTAAAAATGTCAAAAACTGCTGGCTGTGGTGATGGATGCAGATTAGAGGTTTTGTGGGGTACGGGGAGAAGTGGTAAGATTGCTACCTAGCTGCTCGTTCCAGAGCCTTCTGTTGGGGAACATTTCCAAGCATAGGAAGAGAGGAAAGGGTCAGAACTGGCATGTCCTCGTCAGCTAGTGACTGAGGGGAGGCAGAGAGCTGAGCTTTCAGCTGTCCGTCTTACAAATTCCACTCCTTGGACGGCCAGCACACACTGTTGTCATCACCAGGGGAGGCTGCTGGGCGAAGGGGCTGAATTGCATTGAATGCCAAGCATCTTTCAATAACTACCCAGTCACAAGACAAGGGTCAGCACTGACTCAGTGGAATAAAAAGATGCTGCATAAGAGATGGATTCAAACAGCCATTATTACTGGTCTATTTTTAAGTTTAACGATGCACTGTATCACATTCCAGGCATTTGTACAGTGATGAGCAGATAGATGAAAGATCCCCAATGTGGACGAATGTCCAGAGACCTCCCAACCCAAAAGAAACGTAGCACATATTCCTCCTCCTCCTGCCAAATAATCGCACTTCCTTCACTTCACGCACACGGGGAAAGGGTAGCAAGTGGTCACACTTTCCCAGGTGCCCCAATGCTCCCCACATCCAGGCTCCTCAGGCCCAGGTCCCGGGGTGGGTGTGGGGGCAGCAAAGCTCCTGACACACAACCCCCGCTGTCGAGGCCATAACGCAGCAGGGCCACGAACGAGACCCTCGCCCGCCTGCGTGCCATTGCCAACCCCGCTGCTCTGTCTTCTGCCCCCTTCACGAGAGCGGCCACCCGCCGGGGCCAGACGGACCGCGAGCCCCGGCGCCGGG